CCACTCATCCTTCAAGATGCAGATCAAGCATCACCTCTTCTGGGAGGCCATTCCTGATTACCCCCCTTCCATTAGGATTGGATGCCTCCATGTGCTCCCTTAGTACACTGTCCTTGCCTCTACTATAACACTAATTAGGCTATTTACTTACTTTCACTCCAGCATTTCACCAAGTTCCTTGAGGGCAAAGACTGTCACACATTTTTATATCCTCAGCATCTACACTTGTGCCTTATTTTACTTAGCATAATGTCCTCAAAGTTTTTATTGTTGTTGAGATGGAATCTCGCTCTGTCACCCAGGCTGGAGTGCAGTGATGCGATCTTGGTTCACCGCAACCTCCACCTCCCGGGTTCAAGGGATTCTCCTGCCTCAGCCTCCTGAGTAGCTGGATTATAGGCATGCACCACCATGCCCAGCTAATTTTTTTGTTTTTGTTTTTGTTTTTTTGAGACAGAGTCTCAGTCTGTTGCCCAGGCTAGAGTGCAGTGGCATGAGTTCAAGCTGGTTCAAGCAATTCTCCTGCTTCACCCTCCCAAGTAGCTGTGATTACAGGCACCCACTACCATGCCTGGCTAATTTTTGTATTTTTAGTAGACATGGGGTTTCACCATGTTGGCCAGGTTGGTCTTGAACTCCGGACCTCAGGTGATCCACCTGCCTCGGCCTCCCAAAGTGCTGGGATTACAGAGTGTGACCACCGTGTCTGGCCTTTTTTTTTTTTTCTTATTTCTTTTTTTTTTGTAGCACGGTTGTTTGCCATGTTGGCAAGGCTGGTCTCAACTCCTACGACCTCAGGTCCAGTCTGCCAGACGTCAGCCACAAAAGTGCTGGGATTACCAGGCTTGCGAGCCCTGCACCTGAACCTACGTAATCATGTTGTACATGGACAGATTTCCCTCTTTTCTTGTGGCTGCAATAATAGTTTCATCATTCGTGTATTACCATAATTCTTTCTTTTTTCCTTTCTTCTTTCTTTCTTTCTTTCTTTCTTTCTTCTTTCCTTTCTTTCTTTTCTTTCTTTCTCTTCTTTCTTTCTCCTCTCTCTTCTCTCTTCTCTCTTTCTCTCTTTCTCTCTTTCTTCTTTCTCCTTTTTTCTTTTTTCTTTCTTTCTTTTTGGAACACGAGTCTTGCCTATCCCTGGGGCTAGAGACAGTGGCACCGATCTTGGCCTCACTGCAACTCCATCTCCCTGGTACAACGCAGGTCTCCTCGCCTCAGCCCCTGAGGTACTTAGATTAAGTCATCACGGGCCCCCACGCCCAAGCCTGTTTCTTATATTTAGTACAGAGTACCGGGTTTGCCATGGTTGGCCAGCTGGTCTTGAATTCCTGGCTCAGATGATCCACCTGCCTTGTCTCCCAAAGCCTGGGATTACAGGCATGAGCCCACTGTGGCCGGCCCCTTAACCTCCCCCCCACATTTTCTTTATCCATTAATCCATGATGGACACGGTTACTTTTACCTTTTTGCTATTATGAATAATGTTGCCGTAAATATGGGTGTGCAAATATCTTTGAGATCACACTTTCAATTCTTTTGGCTATGTAACCTAGAAGCTGGATCATGTGGTCATTCTATTTTTAATCTTTTGAGGAAACTCCATAATGTTTTCCCTAGTGGTTGCACCATTTTACATTCCCTTCAGTAATGCACAATGGTTCCAATTTTTCCACATCCTTGCCAACACTTATTTTCTGTGCTTGAAAAAAAAATACCAGCCATCCTAATGGGTATAAGATGATATATCATTATAGTTTTGATTTGCATTTCTCTAATGATTAGCAACTTGAGCATCTTTTTCCTATGCTTTTTGGCCTCTTGTATATCTTCTTTGGAAGAATGTCTATTCAGCTCGTTTGCCCAGTTTTTTGAAAATTGGGTTACTTGTTTTTCTGTCGTCAAGTTGTAGGAGTTTTTTTAATATGTTCTGCATATTAACCTGTTAGATATATGCTTTGCAATTATTTTTTCCCATTCCATACACTGCCTTTTCACTCTATTGACTGTTTCTCTTGATATGCTGACATTTTAAAGTTTGATATAGTCCCATTTGTCTATTTTCACTTTTGTTGCCTGTGATTTTGGTATTTTATCCAAGAAATTGAGGGAGAAGGAAAGGAACAATCAGTTAGGTAGACAGCTAAGGCCAGCCCTTGGAGAAGCAGCCTGCCTGAAAAATCACAGCTACAAGCAAAATAGAGCAGCTTAGGCAAAACTCAGGCTGTACCTGCATAGATAAGCAGGCAGGGTCCAGCATGGATGCCTTTCATTCTTCGTGTAATTGGCCAGCTCCCAGGAAAAACTTTCCTCCCCTTTTCAGGCATATACATAGTGGACTCTGTGGGAACTTGCACAAGGAGGACGCAGCCTTACCTAAAACAAACCCACAGTGATACAAACAAGAGAAGCCATGCTTTGTGCTTGCCTAGAGACATACCCACATCTGTAGAAGATAAGGGAAGTTGCACAGACAGCTTTATTCATAAGAGAAGTTACTCAAACAGCTATAGAGATGAGAGGAGTTTCTTATAACATGTTTTGAATTCAACTGTAAAAATGGCACCCCACTTGGGCTCCTCTCTCTGCTGTGGAGAGCTTTCTTCTTTTGCTTATTAAACTTTTGCTTCAACCTCACTCTTTGTGCCCACGCTCCTTAATTTTCTCAGTCATGAGACAACAAGTTCGGATAACATGTTAGACAATGAGACCATTGACCCTTACCTGTTTAAAATTTTTTTTCAAATCCAAGGCCATGAAGCTTTCCCCATATGTTTTCTACTAAGAATGTTATATTTTTAGGTCCTTAATCTATTTGGAGTTATTTTTTGTATATGGTCCAAGGTAAGGGTCTACCTTCATTCTTTTGCATGTGGATATCTAGTTTTTGCCAACACTGTTGAGGAGATTGTCCTTTTTCCATTGTGTGGTCTTGACACTCTTTCTGAAGATTATTCTAACATATATGCAATGTGGCAGGTGATCAACAACTTTCTGGGCTGGTGACACAGGTGGTAGGAAGAATTTACCAACACAGTTGTAGGTAAAGAAAGACAGGTTTATTAGAGAAAGTATGAAAATACATTGCAAGGGTACAACAGGCAGGTCAGCAAGAGAGAAGTTGACTGCTAGGAAACAAAGGCTTGCTGGGGATTTTGTAGAATGGTGCTTATGTTGTGTGCAGAAGAGGGCTTTGTGCAGTACTAATAATGTCAAGGTTGCAGTGAACTAACTTCCATTTTTCTATCAGCTACGGGTCTGGTGATGGCTGGGCTCAGGCAGATTTTGAGTTATTTGCACAGCAGGGCTGTGTGTCCTGGACCATGAAGAAAGGCAGACTTGTGGCTTATCTGCTTTCTCCTTTTGCTTCCCTTCGCCCAGCCAGCCTGACTCCTTTTCCCTAATTAGGACTCCACATGCAAGGGTTTGTTCTGTTCTAGAACAGAGACAGATCGATGTATCTATCTTTATACCAGCATTATAACTTCTACGTCTTGACCAATTACAACTTTAGTATCTCTCTCGCCTGTCCTCTGTTGTGGGAAGTCAGGGACCCTGAATGGATGGACCAGTTGAAGCCATGGCAGAAGAACATAAATTGTGAAGATTTCATGGACATTTATTAGTTCCCCAAATTAATACTTTTATAATTTCTTACACCTGTCTTTACTGAAATCTCTGAACATAAATTGTGAAGATTTCATGGACATTTATCCCTTCCCCAATCAGTACTCTTGTGATTTCCTATGCCTGTCTCTATTTTAATCTCTTAATCCCGTCATCTTTGTAAGCTGAGGATGACTGTCACCTCAGGACCCTGTGATAATTGCATTAACTGCACAAATTGTTTGTAGAGCATGTGTATTTGAACAATATGAAATCCGGCACCTTAAGAACAGGATAACAGCGATTTTCAGAGAACAAGGGAGATAACCTTAAAGTCTGGCTGCCAGTGGGCAGGCAGGACAGAGCCATATTTCTCTCATTACTGAAAACAGGCAAGATAAATATCACTGAATTATTTCCCTAGTAAGGAATATTAATAATTAACAGCCCTGGGAAAAGAATGCATTCCCAGAGGAGGCCTCTAAAATGGCTGCTCTGGGGGTGTCTGTCTTATGCAGATGTAGATAGGGATGAAACACGCCCTAGTCTTCTGCAGTGCCCCCAGGCTTGCTAGGATTAGGAAATTTCAGCCTGGCAAATTCTAGTCAGACCAGTTCTCTGCTCTTGAACCTTGTTTATCCACGACAATGTGTGCACAGCTGGACATGGAAGTTCATTAGTGATTCTAGTTTCACTCTGACTTTGTGATCTCACCCTGACCTCCTGCCTTGTGATCTTTTGTCGCCCTTGAAGCATGTGATCTCTGTGACCCACACTCGATTTGTGCACTCCCTCTCTTTTGAAAATTGCTAATAAAAACTTGCTGGTTTTGTGGCTCAGGGGGCATGATGGAACCTGCCGACATGTGATGTCTCCCCTAGACACCGAGCTTTAAAATTTCTCTCTTTTGTACTCTTTCCCTTTATTTCTCAGACCAGCTGACACTTAGGGAAAATAGAAAAGAACCTACGTGAAATATTGGGGGCTGAATTTCCCCCAAAAGTCCTCCCTATACAAGAGATAAATAAAAGATACTCATAGTACTGAGTATCTTCCTGCAGCATTCAATCTGGAGCAAAGCCGGCTTCCTTAAACCCTTTCCAAAAATCCCCAAATAAAAGCCCAAAATCTGTATAGGATCTTCCTAACATCCTCGTGCTGAGATGCCCTGAAACTCTCCATAGCTCATGACTGAGTAATAAAACCAACTTGCTTAATTAAAGTTGGTTTCGGGTAGTCCTGGCTGGAGGACATTGACTTACAAAAATATAGGATTAACATCTTCAAAATAAATAGACAGTAAACATCAACAAGGATTCACACACCAATAATGAAATTGGGCAGAAAAAGGAAAAATAATCATAAGATGCAAAGTACAGATGGCTTTATAATACTGAAAATAATTGTATTTCAAATGCATAAAATGACGCTTCTGATTCAGCTGGCGCGACCTTTATTTCACATTTGAGTTCAGCTGCTCCTGATGTCTCTCTCCTGAAAATTTCAATATTAAAAGCCAGAGAAACCCTATATTTGGGGAAGCTTATCCTTTACCATCAACTTTGGGGTGGGGGTCAGAGGGAACAGGGGACGAAAGGCGGCGCTGAATGGGGCCGAAGCTCCGCCCCTTAGCGATAAGTCCATTTTCCTGCGGCCAACGTGGTCCTCCAAGGGAGCAGCTGAGCCGCTGAGGCTGGCGAGTTCCAGGGGAAGGATGTTCTAGCCGGAGCCTACTCGATGGTAGGGCAGGAGCCGCCTGGTGTCTGGGCGCGGCCATGTTGGAGGCTCCGGGCCCGAGTCATGGCTGCGAGCCCTGCAACCCCAGTGCCAGCAGAGCCACCTGCGCCGGGCAGATGCTGGAAGTGCAGCCAGGACTGTATCTCGGTGGGGTCGCGGCCGTCGCGGAGCCAGACCACTTGAGGGAAGCGGGCATCACGGCCGTGCTAACGGTGGACTCGGAGGAGCCCAGCTTCAAGGCGGGGCCTGGGGTCGAGGGTCTGTGGCGCCTCTTCGTGCCAGCGCTGGACAAACCCGAGACCGATCTGCTCAGCCATCTGGACCGGTGCGTGGCCTTCATCGGTCAGGCCCGCGCTGAGGGCCGTGCGGTGTTGGTGCACTGGTGAGTGGCCGGGTCAGTGGGCGACGTGCCCCGCCAAGCACCCCTTTCCTTCCGAGGCCCTCGGGAGGACGAGAGCGCGGTCATGCCGCGTGAACCTCCTCCAGCTACCTCCCGCAGGAGGCGTGTATCCAAGAGAGGAGGAGGCTGGAGGCGGGCCCCTGGTGTGTGCAGGCTTTCATTCATTCATGCTTTAGTTGGTTCTTCCTGCAGCAACAGAGGGCGGGGGAGGTGTCATCCGATAAATGACAAATTACCTACGCCCCAAGGAGTTTACAGCTCTGTTGGAGAAGCTAGACACCCACCCTGATGATTGTAATGCAGATTAGGTTGCTCGGTGTCTTGTAAACAGGATTTACAAAGATTTAGGGTTCAATGTTTTTGTTTGGGATGGGTAGGGGGTGGTTGATGAAGAGGAGAATTGGTTTGGATCTAAAGGATCCCTGGGCTTTACCTAGGGAGGAGATAGTTGCAGCAAAGACAAAAAGAAAATGGGAATCCCGGCAGGGCACGGTGGCTCACGCCTGTAGTCCCAGCACTTTGGGAGGCAGGCGGATCACGAGGTCAGGAGTTCCAGACCAGCCTGGCCAATATGGTGAAACCACGTCTCTACCAAAAATACAAAAATTAGCCGGGCGTGGTGGCGCTCGCCTGTAGTCTCAGCTACTCGGGAGGCGGAGGCAGGAGAATCACTTTGAACCTGGGAGGCAGAGGTTGCAGGGAGCCCAGGTTGTGCCACAGCACTCCAGCCTGGGCAACAGAGCAAGACTCCATCTCAAAAAAAAAAAAAAAAAAAAAAAGAAAAGAAAATGGGAATCCCTAAGCAGTTCTTGGTTGGATTGGAGTATAATAACAATAGTTTAAATTTATTGAGCACATAAAAGACAGAAGATAGTGATAGAATCGAAAGAAGTCTGGGACCAGATTTTGAGGTCCCTGAATGCTAAGATGAAAGGAGATTGGATTTATTTTTGTTTTGTTTTATTTATTTTTATTTTGAGATAGAGTCTTGCTCTGTCACCCAGGCTGCAGTGTAGTAGCGTAATTACGGCTCACTGCAGTCTCAACCTCCCAGGCTCAAGTGATCCTCCCGCCTCAGCCTCCAGAGTAGCTGGGACTACAGGCACGCGCCACCACATCCGGCTAATTTTTTGTAGAGGTGGGGTCTCACTTTGTTGCCCAGGCTGGTCTCCAACTCCTGGGCTCAAGCAATCCCGTACCTCGGCCTCCCAAAGTGCTGGGATTTCAGGGATAAGTAAGCCACTGTGTCTAGCCAGGAGTTTGGATTTGTTCTGAGCCATTATAAAAATTTTAAAAATTACTGTTATTATTTTTGAATAGGTAATACAGTCACATGGTTCAGAATTCAAAAGGAAAAAGGAATAATTCTTTTGTACCTGATAATATTTCAGAGGCAATGGGCTTATCTGAGAAGTAGAAATGAAGTGGGCCTAAACTTTACTATTAATAGGGGGCTGGGTTTTGTGTGTTTGTTTTTAATTGTTGCTATTTGCTGTTTTATTTTAAAGGTCTCTTTTTCAGTCACGCAGGAGTCAGTCGAAGTGTGGCCATAATAACTGCTTTTCTCATGAAGACTGACCTACTTCCCTTTGAAAAAGCCTATGAAAAGCTCCAGATTCTCAAACCAGAGGCCAAGTGGGTTCTTTTTTTTATAGTAATAATTTTGCTTTTGTGATGTTATTTTAAGAAAATGAAACTTTGTATTTCTTTATCATTACAGGATGAATGAGGGGTTTGAGTGGCAACTGAAATTATACCAGGCAATGGGATATGAAGTGGATACCTCTAGTGCAATTTATAAGCAATATCGTTTACAAAAGGTTACAGAGAAGTATCCAGGTAAGTAATAATCACTAGTGTGTAATGGGCTTTCTAAATGTCATTTACTTTTGGCGTTGCATGCATTACCTCACTTCCAGCAATCCCCGAGAAACTATTGTTTCTTTTTGAAACTGATTTAGCCAGAAACAACTTACTCAAAATCACATGGTTTATAAATGGCAGGGTCGGGATTTGAACTCGGTCAGCCTGTGCCCAGAACCTAAGTACTTAAATCACTGTCCTCTCCTACCTTAGCCTGATTTCTCAACACTGGAATTTGATTTTTTTTTTTTTATTTTAATTTCTGAGGTTAACACTTCTTGCCTCAATTTGACATTAACTGAATTTATCTGAAAATGCAGTTGATTTTGACAAATAAATACATTTTAGTTATATCATATAGAATTGCAGAATTTACCTCAAGAACTCTTTGCTGTTGACCCAACCACGGTTTCACAAGGATTGAAAGATGAGGTTCTCTACAAGTGTAGAAAGTGCAGGTAAAATATTTTGTATCCTTTGGATATTTTATCTTCTCAGTAACTGAAAAGTAGCTAAAGTTTTATTTTCTTAAATTTCTGTAGGAAGATTTTGTTTAATTGAAGAATATAGAAATTTTTAGTTCAGATCTGTTTTCAGGAAGAATATAAATTCTTAAAAAGAGAAATAATCAGATTGTAAGGGTTATTGAAAATTTAAGTAGCATAATCAGTGTTACATTATTTTGTCCTCTAAGCAATATCGCACATATTGCTGGGTGCGGTGGCTCATGTCTGTAATACCAGCACTTTGGGAGGCCCAGGCAGGCAGATCACCTGAGGTCAGGAGTTTGAGACCAGCCTGGCCAAAGTGGTGAAACCCCGGCCAGGCGCGGTGGCTCACGCCTGTAATCCCAGCACTTTGGGAGGCCAAGGCAGGCGGATCACAAGGTCAGGAGATCGAGACCATCCTGGCTAACACGGTAAAACCCCCTCTCTACTAAAAATACAAAAAAATGGCCGCAGGCGTGTGGCCCCAGCACCTGGTAGTCCCAGCTACGGGAGGCTGAGGCAGGAGAATGGCGTGAACCCAGGAGGGGGGAGCTTGCAGTGGAGCCGAGATTGACGCCACTGGACTCCAGCCTGGGCGACAGAGCGGACTCCGGTCTGAAAAAAAAAAAAAAAAAGTGGTGAAACCCTTGTCTATTAAAACTACAAAAATTGAGCTGGCCATGGGCAAGGTGGACTGTAATCCCAGCTACTCAGGAGGCTGAGGCGGGAGAACAGTTGAACCCAGGAGGGGAGGTTGCAGTGAGCCGTGATCACACCACTGCACTCAGCATGGGCAACAGAGTGAGACTCTGTCTCAAACAAACAAACAAACAAAAAAGAAATATGCACATTGAAGCGCGGCACATGTTTTCATCCTTTTGGAAGTCATTAATGTTTTTGTTTGTTGGGGGTTGCAGGCGATCATTATTTCGAAGTTCTAGTATTCTGGATCACCATGAAGGAAGTGGACCTATAGCCTTTGCACACAAGAGAATGACACCATCTTTCATGCTTACCACAGGGAGACAAGCTCAATGTACATCTTATTTCATTGAACCTGTACAGTGGATGGAATCTGCTTTGTTGGGAGTGATGGATGGACAGGTGAGAACACATTTTATTTTCTACAATTTTATTTTATCATCTATATTTTATTCCTTCTTGCATTTTATTTTATTTTATTTTATTTTTTATTTTTTTGAGGCAGAGTCTTGCTCTCTTGCCCAGGCTGGAGTGCAGTGGCTGGATCTCAGCTCGCTGCAAGCTCCGCCTCCTGGGTTCACGTCATTCTCCTGCCTCAGCCTACTGAGTAGCTGGGACTACAGGCGCCCACCGCCTCGCCCGGCTAGTTTTTTGTATTTTTTAGTAGAGACGGGGTTTCACTGTGTTAGCCAGGATGGTCTCGATCTCCTGACTTCGTGATTCACCCGTCTTGGCCTCCCAAAGTGCTGGGATTACAGGCTTGAGCCACCCTTCTTGCATTTTAAACTCTTATTTTAACTAGTGCTTTACTCCATTTAATTCCTTTATTTCTGAAGATTATATCTTTCTAGTGTAGATAAGCCTATCAAAAATAAAATATTTTTCAAAAACCAGCTGATCCAAAATAGTGAACTACTTCTGGTTGAGAGCCCTGGTCTAAGTTAATAAATTTCCTTTAAGGCTATTTATATTTTTTCAAATATAAGACTAACATTTATTTTTAAACTAATTAGAATATGTTGGCTGAGCACTCATGCCTCATTAGCTCATGCCTGTAATCTGAGCACTTTGGGAGGCTGAGGCGGGAGGATCGCTTGAGCCCAGGGTTTCAAGACTAGCCTGGGCAACATAGTGAGACCTCATCTCTATAAAAGAAAGTAAACAATTTTTAATTTAAAAAAAAAATGTATTTAACAATATTTGAACTTTTATAATAAGAGTAGGGTAAATCAGGGATTTTAAAATTAGGTTAAAAGTTCTGTCTTTCTTCTTCTCTGTTGGCTTCCTGTATGTGTCTCTTTTTTTTTTCTGATCTTTTAGGAAATTGAAATTTAGTATGTTTTACTATGAGATTCTTTTTCATTTCCAGTTAAATAATGCAGCTCATCCTCTTGCTCTTATAACCAGTGTGTGGGGAAAAAAAGAAAAACAAAGAATGCAGTTCATGTGACATTTTACATAAAAAAGTGTTTAACTTGGTGGGAGTGTGCCATGACAGCCACATTTCTCCTTTAGGTTTATTTGATATTAATGTGAAGGTATTCTATAATAATAATTATAATAATGATTTTGAAAGTTTGTATGGTTTGTATAAAAGTTTGTATAGTGGCTATTTTATGAAACCCTTTCACTATATTATAACATTTGAAGAATGCCATAACTTTATAAAATAGGTAGAGCAGTTATATTCATACGTTATGCATGAGGAAACTGGTTTTTTTTTTTTTTTTGAGTTGGAGTCTTGCGCTGTTGCCCAGCCTGGAGTGCAGTGGCGCGGTCTCGGCTCACTGCAGGTTCCGCCTCCCGGGTTCACGCCCGTTCTCCTGCCTCAGCCTCCGGAGTAGCGAGGACTACAGGCGCATGCCACCAGACCTGGCTAATTTTTTTGTATTTTTAGTAGAGACGGGGTTTCACCACGTTAGCCAGTATGGTCTCGATCTCCTGACCTCGTGATCTGCCCGCCTCAGCCTCCCAAAGTGCTGGGATTACAAGCGTGAGCCACCGCGCCCGCCCGGCCAGGAAACTGTTTATGAGTAGTGTCTTGCCTAGAAAGTGGTACCCTATGATCAAACTCACATTTTCAGATGATGCTGCTTTTTAAAAAACAGCCTTATTATAGTAGTATAATTCACATACATACAATGTACCTATTTAAGGTGTACAATTCAGTGGTTTTTAAAGTGTATTCATGGTGTTTTTTGCAACCGTCATGTATTAGTTCATTTTCACACTGCTATAAAGATAGTACGTGAGACTGGGTAGTTTATAAAGGAAAGAGGTTTAATTGACTCATGGTTCTGCATGGCTGGGGAGGCCTCAGAAAACTTATTATCATGGTGGAAGGGAAAGCAGACCTCTTCTTCACAAGGTGGCAGGAGAGAGAAGCATGTGTGAGGTTGAAACTGTCAAACACTTACAAAACCATCAAAATTTATGAGTACTCATTCACTATGGCGAGAACAGTATGGGGGAATCTGCCTCCATGATCCAGTCACCTCCCTTCCTCCACACGTGGGGATTACAATTTGATTTGAGATGGGATTTGGATGGGGACACAGAACCAAACCATATCACATCACAATTCACATTCCTACTCTTCTCATTCTTTTTTTTGTTTGTTTTTCTTTTGAGACGGAGTTTTGCTCTTGTTGCCCAGGCTGGAGTGCAATGGCACAATCTTGGCTCACTGCAACCTCCACCTCCCGGGTTCAAGTGATTCTCCTGCTTCAGCCTCCTGAGTAGCTGGGATTGCACTTGGCTAATTTTGTATTTTTTGTGGAGACGGGGTTTTTCCATGTTAGTCAGGCTGGTCTCGAACTTCTGACCTCAGGTAATCCACCCGCCTCAGCCTCCCAAAGTGCTGGGATTGCAGGCGTGAGCCACCACGCGAAGCCTCGCTTCCCATTCTTGATGGTATTATTTGTAGCAGTTAGAGATTTTAATTTTGGTGATATCTAATTTATCAGTTTTTCTTTTTGGTGGCTTGCGATTCTGGCTTTCTAATTTTACTTAACCTGGGAAACACACACACATATTCCAACCAAGTTAAATAGATTTTTATGTGAGATTCTAAATCCTGTGCATACTTATTTGTATACATGTTTGATTTTTTTTCTGTAGAATATATACCTAGAAGTGGAATTCCTGGCTTGAAGAATGTATTTTAAATATTAGTGATATTCCAGGCCGATATTCAAAATGCCCATACAAATTTGGTTTTCAGTAACTGAATGCATGTACCTGTTACCCCATATCCTTGACATAACAGATACTGTAAAACTGTTAACATTTTGTCAATCTGTGGGGTAAAAAATGTTAATCCTAAAATGTTTAATTGGAATTTTATGAAAATAGTCATCAACCACCATCTTTATGTATTTACCAGCCATTTACAGTTTCCTTTTCTATAAACTGCTCTCATATTCCTAGGCCCATTTGTCTATGGGTTTTGTCTCTTATTCATTTGTAGGAACTCTATATATTCTAGATGTTAATAGTTCATCTAATATATTGCAATTATTTTCTTCAGTCTATTGCTTATCAGATTTTTTATATGTTTTGTCATATTAAAATGAAGGATAGTTACATAATAAAATGTGTTAGTTTTTTATTTATGGCTTCTGAATTTCTTTTTTATGAGACAGAGTCTCGCTCTGTTGCCCAGGCTGGAGTGCAGTGGCGTGATCTTGGCTCACTGCAACCTCTACTTCCCAGGTTCAAGTGATTCTCCTGCCTCAGCCTCCCAAGTAGCTGTGATTACAGGCACCTGCCACCATGCCCAGCTAATTTTTGTATTTTTAGTAGAGACGGGGTTTCACCATGTTGACCAGGCTGGTCTCAAACTCCTGACCTCAGGTGATCTGCCCGCCTCAGCCTCCCAAAGTGCTGGGAATTACAAGTGTGAGCTACCGCACTCAGCCCACTTCTGAGTTTTATGTCTAGTTTTCTATAGCTCAATGTTAAAAATAAAAACTCTTACCTTATACCATGCACAAATCAAAGAGCTAAACATAAAAAATAATGCTATAACTAATTACATTAGAAGAAAATGCAGTTGTCTTATTAGGCTTTTTTTGATTTATCTATTTTCCTGGAATATCAGTTTGTCTTTAAATAGCTAAGAAACTGACTTACATGCTGTCAATACATACAATTAGTAATACAGCATGAAAATCCTAACATGCTTTTCTGTACTTTACCCATGATGATTTTCATTTGAAATCCTAAATTACAAACTGATTTAAAAGCTATATATACATATGCCACATCCACAAAACCTTCCTTAATCAAATCATAAGCTTTCCTTTCTCCCTTCAAGCTCCCTGAATACAACATTCTTCCTATGCAATAATTGTAGTCTACTATCTATTACAGTAAATTTCCAATGCATTTTATCTCACTGATTAGATTATAAACTCAAGGTGGGGACTGTGTCTTGTTTTTATATCCTATATTGATTGCCAAAGATAATGATTTGTTTTGTATAAAAGTGAATGAATAAAGTAACACATTTGCTTTATTTCAGCTTCTTTGCCCAAAATGCAGTGCCAAGTTGGGTTCCTTCAACTGGTATGGTGAACAGTGCTCGTGTGGTAGGTGGATAACACCTGCTTTTCAAATACATAAGAACAGAGTGGATGAAATGAAAATATTGCCTGTTTTGAGATCACAAACAAGAAAAATATGAACATGATATTTTATAGCTTTGGAAGAAACTTGCAGATGATATGTACTGCCTTTGCTTCTTATCATTCATTGCAAATTGTTTATGCTGTTAACATTTCATTTGAAATGGAAGAAGATAAAGTCACTTGATGTAACCTGGAAACTGTTTTGCATGGCAATCTAAGCCTTTTGATCATGTACATTTTATTTGATATTAAAATCTTTTATAACCAGATACTGTCTACATTTCATATATTTTTAAAAGTTCTGATTGTTGGAATGTTATGTGATCTTAAGGTCTGTATAGACAAAATTATGTACAAAAAATTGAAACTATTTAAATGGGTATTCTTTTATTTCTAGACATATAAAGCAGATTTGTTTGGACATATTTTGGAATTATTTCACTTTCTTTCTTTTTTTTTTTTTTTTTTTTGAGACGGAGTCTCGCTCTGTAGCCCAGGCTGGAGTGCAGTGGCGGGATCTCGGCTCACTGCAAGCTCCGCCTCCCAGGTTCACGCCATTCTCTGGAATTACAGGTGCCTGCCACCATGCCCGGCTAATTTTTGTATTTTTAGTAGAGACGGGGTTTCACCATGTTAGCCAGGATGGTCTCGATCTTCTGACCTCGTGATCCACCCGCCTCGGCCTCCCAAAGTGCTGGGATTACAGGCTTGAGCCACCGCGCCCGGCCGACTTTTTTTCTTTTAAGGGACATTAGTAAACCCGTACATGTCTGGATTTTTTTTCTTGGAAATGGAAAGGCCATTGGTAAAACGCTGATTAAAATGCAATTTTCCTATTGCTGTTCAGTAATCCCAATTATCTATATTTTTTAAAAAGTGTTTGAGATGCCTTTTTTTTTTTTTTGTTTTGGAGTCTCGCGCTGTGTCACCCAGGCTGGAGTGCAGTGGCGCGATCTCGGCTCACTGCAAGCTCCGCCTCCCAGGTTCACGCCATTCTCTGGAATTACAGGTGCCTGCCACCATGCCCGGCTAATTTTTGTATTTTTAGTAGAGACGGGGTTTCACCATGTTAGCCAGGATGGTCTCGATCTTCTGACCTCGTGATCCGCCCGTCTCGGCCTCCCAAAGTGCTGGGATTACAGGCTTGAGCCACCGCGCCCGGCCGAATTTTTTTCTTTTAAGGGACATTAGTAAACCCGTACATGTCTGGATTTTTTTTCTTGGAAATGGAAAGGCCATTGGTAAAACGCTGATTAAAATGCAATTTTCCTATTGCTGTTCAGTAATCCCAATTATCTATATTTTTTAAAAAGTGTTTGAGATGCCTTTTTTTTTTTTTTGAGACGGAGTCTCGCGCTGTGTCACCCAGGCTGGAGTGCAGTGGCCGGATCTCGGCTCACTGCAAGCTCCGCCTCCCGGGTTTACACCATTCTCCTGCCTCAGCCTCCCGAGTGGCTGGGACTACAGGCGCCCGCCACCTCGCCCGGCTAGCTTTTTGTATTTTTTAGTAGAGACGGGGTTTCACCAGGTTAGCCAGGATGGTCTCGATCTCCTGACCTCGTGATCCGCCCGTCTCGGCCTCCCAAAGTGCTGGGATTACAGGCTTGAGCCACCGCGCCTGGCCTTACTCATTATTAATAATTACAATTGGACCTAATTAGATATTTGAACATTTACAAGAGTCAGAATTAACTAAATAAAGGCCAGGCGCAGTGGCTTATGCCTATGATCCCGGCACTTTGGGAGGTCAAGGCAGGCAGATCACTTAAGGTCAGGAGTTCAAGACCAGCCTGGCCAACATGGTGAAACCCTGTCTCTACTAAAAATAAAAAATCAGCCAGGCATGGTGGCATATGCCTGTAGTCCCAGCTGCTCGGGAGGCTACTCCAAAAAAAAAACAAGAATTAAAGAAAAATATTGTCCATAAACACTGTAGTGGGAGTAATTTTAAAATGCAAAAATACGTTGTGAATAATGATCCTCTTAAAAAATGCCTAGCTCAGTTTTTTAAATGTATAGGAGTGTTATGGAAAATTCTTGAGAAAAATCTTAACATTGGACTAGAAGACTCTGGCAGTTTCCATGTAGTAATTTTTCTTTCTGTTTTTTTTTTTTTGAGATGGAGTTTCGTTGTTGCCAGACTGGAGTGCAATGGCGTGATCTCAGTTCACTGCAACCTCTGCTGCCCGGGTTCAAGCGATTCTCCTGCCTCAGCCTCCCAAGTAGCTGGGGATTACAGGCGTGTGCCACTACGCCTTGCTAATTTTGTATTTTTAGTAGAGACGGGGTTTCCATATGTTGGCCAGGCTGGTCTCAAACTCCTGACCTCAAGTGATCCACCTGCCTTGGCCTCCCAAAGTGCTGGGATTACAGCGTGAGCCACCGCTTCCTGCCATAATTTTTTCTTTTGAGAAAAAAATTACTCCATTTGTTTTAGCTTTCATAAAATCTTACTTTTTTCTTCATATTTTATTCTCTAGAAAGTTTTAAAAAACAGGTTGAGGAGGCCGGGTGTGGTGGCTCATGCCTGTCCCAGCACTTTGGAAGACGAAGGCGGGTGGATCATTTAAGGCCAGGAGTTCAAGACCAGCCTGGCCAATATGTGAAATCCCCATCTCTATTTAAAAAAATCATAACAGTTTGCAGCATATGAAGTTATCCCTTTTGTAGGTAAAAAGTAGTTACATAGCTGCAGTTTAATATTACTCAATGCCTATCTATCATACACTGTTGGTCAGATTGTAAAATCAAATGGTATGGATCAAATGCAATTTTAATTAAGTTGTAAATTCGCTAGTCATGCTCCCCACTATTTGCAGGGTTCCAACAATAATACACATTGAGGCCTATATACTGTTTGTTTTAACTTTTAAAACTGAACAAATTGGCCGGGTGCAGTGGCTCACGCTTGTAATCCCAGCACTTTGGGAGGCCAAGATGGGTGGATCACTTGAGGTCAGGAGTTTGAGACCAGCCTGGCCAACATGGGGGAACCCCGTCTCTACTAAAAATATAAAATTAGCCAGGCATGGTGGTGGGCGCCTGTAATCCCAGCTACTTGGGAGGCGGGGAGGCAGGAGAATTGCTTGAACCTGGGAGGCAGAGTTTGCAGTGAGCCGAGATCGCGCCACTGCACTCCAGCCTGGGCGACAGAGCTAGACTCTGTCTTAAAAAAATAAAATTATAAATCAAGCTATCTGTCAAATAAAATGTTTTATTCTATTATCTTGACAAATATACCTTCGTAATGACCTGTCAGACCAGGTTTGAATTTAGAATTCTCTGATTTTATAAGATTCCATAACAAAGCATGGCAATGCAGGGAGAGGTGGCCCCCGCCCACAGGGTGCCTCCTTTATTTCCTCATCCCTTGATTTGTTCTGCATCATGAAGAGCCTGGTGCATATATATATATGTGGATCCCCCACCTATATGTATAAGATCTGGCTACAGCCCTGGTGTATACCATTGGCCCATTTCACTCTTAAGAGGTAAGAGGCCTGAGCAAGCCCTAGAAGCAGGCTTGGAGCTATTTGGGTGTTAGATGCACTTCTAGAAGGGGGCATCTGTTCTAGCTGGGCACATCACATTGGCAGTATGGATTCTTATCCTGTGGGGACAGAGTCAGAGGTCAGAGTAAAGTCTTCTAAAGTGTGGGTCCAGGGTAGGGGCTCCTCTTACCTAGACCAAAGAGTGGTATTGTCTCTAGACACAAGGTTCTCTTTCAAATTGTATTTCTACTCCAAGGGTTTAAGTTGAAAACAAATGAGTAGATTCAAGAAAAAGAATTCTATAACATCCAACACTTAACGATTTAAAAAGAAAAGCCTGGTAACTAGAGTGGAAGGAAGCTTCCTTAATCAGAGTATCTACGAAAAATCTATGGGAAAAAATCTTATTTAGTGGTAAAACTTTTCAAACATTCACATTAAAATTTAGAAACAAGTTAAAAGATGTCTATCCCCTACCTTCTGTATTGTATTAGAGGTCCTAACCATTGCAGTAAAATAAGGGGCTAAACAGTTTAAGACTTAGGAAAAAAATCTGAACTCACTAATAAATCTCGACATCTCTAAAAGTGGGACAGTATGTATATGCCTCCTGCTATGATGCAAGGAAGTACCTATGAAGTATTCTTGCAAAAACAAACAAAAACAAAAGCAAAAACTAATCAAGCCTCTAGATGTCACTGGCAGTTTCTGGAACAAATTAAGCATCACCATGAAGATGTAATCAGCAGAATCACAAAGTGGGAAATTCTATAGGACCAATGACTTAGATTCTTCAACAAATGGCATGGGGGGAAGAAATGGAGAGGGAATTGTCATATGAACTAAATGCAATGTGACGATCTTGTTTGGATCCTGATTTTAACAAACTAACTGGAAGGAAGGGCATTTTTGAGACAGAAAACTGAACATGGAACAAGTATCAGATGATATTAAGGAATTACTAATTTTGTTGGGTATGATAATGGTATTATCAGCATGTTTTTGAAAAATAAGAAAAGGCAGGCTGGGTGCGGTGGCTCATGCCTATAATCCCAGCATTTTGGGAGGCTGAAGCGGATGGATCATGAGGTCAAGAGATCAAGACCATCCTGGCCAACATGGTGAAACCCCATCTCTACTAAAAAAATACAAAAATTTAGCTGGGTGTGGTGGCACACGCCTGTAGTCCCAGCTACTCGGGAAACTGAGGCAGAAGAATCACTTGAACCCGGGAGGGAGGCAGAGGTTGCAGTGATCATGCCACTGCACTCCAGCCTGGCGACAGAGCAAAACTCCGTCTCAAAAAAAAAAAAAAAAAAAAGAGGCCTTGTCTCTTAGAGATATACGTTGAAGTATTTATGGGTAAAATAATATGATATCTGGATTTGCTTTAAAATATTCCAGGAAGGCTGGGCAAGGTGGCTCACGCCTGTAATCCCAGCACTTTGGGAGGCCGAGGCAGGCAGATTGCCTTAGGTCAGGAGTTCAAGACCAGCCTGGCCAGCATGGTGAAACCCCATCTCTATTAAAAATACAAAAATTAGCCGGGCATGGTGGCAGGCACCTGTAATTCCAGCTACTTGGGAGGCTGAGGCAGAAGAATCACTTGAACCTGGGAGGCACAGGTTGCAGGGAGCCGAGCTTACACATTGCACTCCAGCCTGGGCGACAGAGCGAGACTCCGTCTAAGGGGGAAAAAAAAACCATTCTGGGAAAAATACAAAACAAAATGAAGAAAGTTGTGGAGAGGAGAGGTAGGATAGATAAAACAAGAATGG